TTACTTGAGATGTTTTCAGAGTTGCAAGTCTAAAACTAAAATAAATTCTAAACCCCAATAAATTTTAGAGCTGTAAAAAATGTTGATAATAAATTAGATTAAAATGTTAGGTGACTTTATCAGTGCCATTAGCTGACTTGCTATTAGGCCACCTGTTCAGGCTGGAAAGGGTGACCCTAAAATGTAAGAGACCAGATTTACCTAGTTTACCCTCTAACCTCTTCACCTGTCTCATCCCAATTTACTAATTTTCCATAGTTGTTCTCCACAAAAATTAGTGTTTTTGAGAAACATCCTATCAAGGGAATTTATAAAGAGTGTGTGCTGTAAACATTGTTCAAGAAGAATGTTTTTTTTAAAGGAAAAGAATTTGCCTTTCATTTTCTGGCCCCTAAATATTTCCTCAGGCTGATTTGCCTTCTTTGCACTGGAGTCATTATAACTCCCTGTGTTCTCAGCTAATTCTCAGCTAATAAGTCTGCTAAAACTGACTCTGGTCCTAATTTTATTTATTTATATTGAAATCAGTGAAGGACCATCCGTTTCCAAAAATAAATGGGCTTCCGTCCATCTTTTTTATTCCACCCTTTGTCTTTATGCAGAAAGACCAGCACGATACTGACCTTGTTTTTAAGAAAGAATTTTGGTTCGAGCAGTGAAAATTATGTGAGGCATTATTTAATTTACAATTGCTGATTATAGGTATCTTTTGTAATCTTTCATTTGTCATCTCTTTTTTAACTTCTGGCTGTTGACATGTAAACATTTTGAGTGAGGGTTTTAAATTTCAAATCTATTTGGTATTTAGTCTGTTCGGTGGAGCTTTGAGGCTTTTAAGGCCAAAATTGATAGTAGCTGCCAAAACCAGTGGCGTGAAGTCATTTTTAGCTATTCAGCATTCCAAAATTCAAGAACTGAAGAGGCATTAGTTTTGACACTGAAATGGGAAACAAGGGCCAGAATGGTCCTTCCAGCAAGTCCCAGGCATTCAGACTGTGGACCCCACGGTAAGCATGCTTTGCCATTAATATCAGGGCGGTTGCAGAATGAACTCAGCCAGGCTGTCACCATAGTGCCTTACACTTTTCAGGATGCATCTAGGGAAAGTATCTCTTTTTGAAAACGTATGTGTTAACTTGAATTTTCAAACTTACCGACCAAATGACAATCTAACAAAACTGCCACCAAATCTGCAACTTAAAATGTGCATACGTTTTGTAACCTTAAACATTTGGTGAGATCCTTCTTCTCTTTTACTTCACAGTGAGCTCGAGTCTTCTTTTTCTTATTTGGATGGCAGTTTTATTTCCAGGGAATGAGTCACTGAATTTCATGGGATTTTATGCTGCCTCCCTGACTCATAACTATCATTTCATGGGGCTTATCTTCAAACCGCATCAGGTGCTGGAGCAGCGAAGCACAGAGAGCAGAGATACAGAGCAGATTAGTTCTTCTCTCCTCAGGTCGGAAGAAGAAGGTGCATAGAAAAAAATGAGGGAATAACAGAACACTTAGAAAACACAGGAATCTTTATCTTTTTTTTAATTTTTTTAATTTTTTAAAAATATTTTATTGATTTTTTACAGAGAGGAAAGTAGAGGGACTGAGAGCTAGAAACATCGATGAGAGAGAAACATCCACCAGTTGCCTCCTGCACACCCTCTACCAGGGATGTGCCCGCAACCAAGGTACATGCCCTTGACCGGAATCGAACCTGGGACCTTTCAGTCCACAGACCGACGCTCTATCCACTGAGCCAATCCGGTTTCGGCAGGAATCTTTATCTTTTAAATTTCTTCAGAGCTGTCATCAGTCTCCAATACTCAAAGACATAGCATCTAATGCCATTATAGAGTCCAAAAGCATTCCTTAGCAAAAGATGCATTTGGATGAATAATTAGCAACAAGGACTTCCAATTTACCACAGCCTATTGGCTACCTGAATGCTTCATTAACCTCTTCTGAAACAATAGTAAGCTGATAGTGAAGACAGAAGAGAAATGTAGCCCTCCTCCAGCATGTACTTACAAGTGGTCAGGGGAAACCCATAATGCCACAAAATTTTTCCACCCATAAACTTGCAAACAAATTTTAATGCCTCACACTTAAATAGACTTTCAAGTGCGTTAGTCAATTGATGAGTGCCTTTAACGTGAAAGAGGAAGATCAAATAAACAAGGGGACCACACCCAATCCCACCAAAAGACAACACCAAAAATGGGTTGTTGGAGAAAAAGGGGAAATGGGCACGCAAGAGCCCGGTGAGTCAGAGCAGCTTTCTTTCTGCAGTGTGAGGGAGCGGACCCACCGACCTCCGTGGTACCCTGCTCCCCTCCCGTGCTTGGGGGACATTCATGGACCCAAAGCAGCAGTGAATTTTCATCTCGAAAATCAATTTGTGGAAAAACCCTGTTGCGAGGGCGAAGGGTGACAGGCAGGTAAACTAGGATTTGTGGGGCTTCCAAACACTTAACATGTGGCTGAGACTCCCCACCTTGTCTGTCCACCAGCTGGGGATTATGGCTGGGGATTAATTTAGATTTATGAAGAAGGTAAGCTTCCATATCAGTCGTGAGTTGCTGAAGAAATGGGTTGTTAGGCCAAGCTTGAAAGCCAGCCCAGGGACTTGGGCTTATTCTATCATTTCAGAGGGGATCACAGGCTGTGTGTGACCCGGGTCTAAATCCCTGATCCCCGCACACACATTGGATCATTTATTCAGCACCGTGACTCCTATCATCACCAGGCAGGCTGTGTGAAATGCCTCCCCTGGCCTCCTGCACAGCCCACCAGCCACTCATTCAGATCGTCCTGTTGGAAATAAGCTGGTTATCGCCCTTCAGTGTTCATAAAGGTCAGGTTAGTTTTGTGGTGGAAGTCTATCTTAGTGTAGTCTTATTATTTTCTGTAGGGCTGAGCTTGACTAGGAATTAACAGATCCAGTTTCCAGTTCCAGTGTCACCACTGTCTTATTACTTCCATGAGCAAATCACTGTGATTTATTCTGGACTCAACCTTCACCCTCCATCTATTTATCAGAGAAGAGCATGCCTGGCTTTGGCATAGAGCTATGTTATGTGGATATGATGAGATAAGGCATTTGAAAGAATTTTGAAATGTTAGAATAAGCCTCATTTTCCTGTATCCCAAGTTAATATTATCATCATATCCTACTTTTTTAAAAAATATATTTTATTGATTTTTTACAGAGAGGAAGGGAGAGGGATAGAGAGCTAGAAACGTCAATGAGAGAGCAACATCAACCAGCTGCGTCCTGCACACCCCCCACCGGGGATGTGCCTGCAACCAATGTACATGCCCTTGACTGGAATCAAACCCGGGACCTTTCAGTCTGCAGACTGACGCTTTACCACTGAGCCAAACCGGCTTCGGCATCATATCCTATTTTTAAGTAAATTGTGAAATAGACTGTTTTTAAAAATTACTTACAAAGCAAAATACTGTGATTCATATTATAAAGAATGTTCATATTATAAGAATTCTAGGTACCACCAATTGTTATTTTCAAAGAATATGTTTTGTTCATTAAGAAAGTTTGAGAAGGAATGATTATGTGTTCTTTTCCCCCCCCAGTGAATAAATGATTATCATTGCTTGTGCAATGCTCTTCAATTTCACACATTCTTTGTTCTCCTTCCCTCTTGCTGCCTCTTTTGACATTGCCTTCTCTCTGTCACAGTGGTTCCTTTCCTCAACCCACCTCTTCCATTGCATAACTTGTTAACATTAACCTGTCGTAGGAGGATGCATTGTTTTCAGGAAAAAGGTGATGGGTTTGGCTCCACTATGCCTTCCAAATAAAGTCTAAACTTTTAGTTTAGGATTTCAAAGCTTTGTCTTAACTTACTGCTTCGGCTGTAGCTCTCATTCTGACCTTATTCTGTGGTGGTTTCAAATGTTTGGAAATGTGTTGATCCTGATCCTAATTTTCTTGCTCCTAAATCTTTGAACTGTTGTATTCCACATGCACTTGTTGGAAGTCTTTGCATCTTTAAGTGCTATATCTCTCCTAGGAAGACTTTGTGGGCTTTCGCTACAAATGTTTTTTCTCTTCTAGACTGTAGTACCTTTACTATCTACTTTTCTTGGGGCATCTATCCCATTCTGTTTCATATGACTTTTATGTTACTGTGGTTTTGTGTGTTTGTTCAGTAATTATTTTCTGCTTCTTTTATTCCCTGTTTCTATCTCTGTTGACAAAGCTTTGAGCTTCTTTGGCTGTGTTCGACCATTATATTCTAAAGTGTCTAAAAGGTTTTTCTCAGGCAATAAGAAGCAGCCCCTAAGAGTTGGTGAATTAAATTGAATCGCCGGGCCAAATCTTTAGGCATGAGTATCAAACTGAACCTTTCATGGAGCTGGACAGAGTAAAAGCAGTGTCCGGGTACTAGCAAAGAATCTTTAAGTGTGACTGTAAGGGAAGAAGTCAGCTGTTGGACAGATATGTTAGTGAGGTTAGATATGTGTATTGCCAGGAATCAGCATATGTCAGAGATACTTGGAATCATGAATATTGTTCTACAAAGTTATATGTTTGATTTACATGTCAGGACACAGGACACACATTGAAAGCTTAGCAAATGTCTACAAAACATAAAAGGAGTGCTATAGAATCTGGGCAGATTTTAAAAACATAGAATGTAAATCCTTTGTGCTTGAATAAAAACATGTATTATGAAGCTTCCTCAATTTGTTTAGAGGGGAAAAAATCAAAATTGAACAGATATTTTCAAGTAGTACCAGGACCAGCTTTGTGTTTATTATTATTATTATGATAACTTGAAGGGATCTTTCCTAAGACATAACATTCCCTAGTGTTAGGAATCCCGTGAAGGCCACATCCATACAAAGAATTGGGGCATTCGCAGGGGCACAGTTATTGATTGGAGCACAGTTATTCCTGAGTCTTTCCCATGTCTGCCCATGCATGTACATTTCCCTCGCTTATCCGATTCACATTATCTATATTTTCTCCTTAGATTATTAAAACGGGAAGAAAGTTTCACATTCATTCCTCGGTCCCGGGAAGATCTCCCCGACAACTTTCCAAAGGAAATTCCCGGGATCTGCTATTTCCTGGAGGTAAGGACTGGTCCCAAGCCGCCAAAGCCTTCTCTCTCCTCGTCGAGGATCAAAAAGGTTTCCTACAACATCGGCACCATGTTCCTCCGGGAGACCAGCCTCTGAGATGTGCCACAGATCAAAGACTCCTCCAAAAGCACAAGCCCGGACCCGGGGCACGGCGGGCGGGTGGAGAGGGGTTCTCTCTCTGCTTCGTTGGGAACACGCAGCGGGATTTCTGTGACGTCAGGCAATAATCCTAGAAAAGGCGGGTGATGACTGTCCATTTAAAAAAAAACTGGAGGTTGGGAGGTGGGTAAACAACACGTGTCTGTCCATGGGAGTGTTTTTGGTCACACATATATTTTAATTACAAGTATGGGTCTCCTTTCCAAACTAACCGATAAATAAGAGTTCATGTTTGCTTGTTTGTCACACATACAGATACCTTCCCCTATATATTTGTATCACTTTTGACAGCCAGTTTTCGTATATATTCCTACATTTAGTGAGGTGGTCTGTGAAGGATCTTTTCTAATTTTTTGTTTTTTCTGAACAGACATTTCATACATATATCATGGCAGTGTGGTCAGCTTCCCAGCAGGAAAAACTGTAACTCGGCAAAAATATTTTAGGGATATTACCTATTTTTATACATGTATCTTCTAGATAATTACCTTTCACTCAGCATTATTAGATGTTCTGAGTCTGTTACTGTATAGTTGGTATGTAATGTAACACTAACCTGCTCATTGAATATCGTTTTACTTACCTAGAGTCATTAGTACTTAGACCGAGAACACATATAACCAAGGATTTCAGATGCTGAGAAAGGATTGTACATCTGCTTAGTAAACATATCCTGTAGACTTAGTTAAATGTAACATGGAACCCAGAGCAAATGGAATTTCCTAATAGTAGCTAAGATTAAAGAAAGATCCTCTTGACCATCTTCTAACAAGTATCAGTCCAAATAAAATGATCTCTTCATTGAGCGCTTTTCCACTTAGCATTCACAGGCACAGGTAGTTATTGTAGCTGAACTGCCCTCTAAAAACACCGATCTACTAAGTGACATGCTCATACTCCCCCACCCCCTTCATGATGATGACTCCTAAGGCGTGAATTCCTAGATACTGCCCTTAGTGAGAACATTTTTGCCAACAACTTTGTTTCTTCATGTATAATAAAATCAGGGGGGAAAATAGCTGTATTTAATGGTTTTAAGATTAAAAAATACGTCCGTCTTCAGTTGAATTGAGTTGGCTTCTAAATTCAGTGAATCACCTTCAAAACAGTGAAGCAGGTCTAACCTTTCACTTAGTAATCACCATAGTTACCAATAGGCTTCCATCACATGACCTGCTAAAATGAAGACCAGTTCCCAATAATTAGCTGTGCATGAAAATATTATTACAGACTCACCAGAAATTAGGAGCATGGTGTGTCCAGAGAATTTTCTATTTTGGATCAGATATAAAACCTAAGTTCCTATTGAGGTTAATGAGCTGTAAGTATTTTTTCCTTTAAAACCTTAGTGTCCATTTTCTTGCTACAGTGTGTACACTCATTAGTCGCTTGTGTCTACTGAATGCAATATGTTTCTTCTTCTGGTCAGTGGCCTGGGCTGCATTATGATTTGCTTACAGCATAAATCAGCAAAGGAGCATAGTAACTAGTGTCCAATGTAGTCTAGGAGGCTGCTTTAGTGTTTTTAAGTTCTCTCAGTGGGTCGCTAGAAAGCATTTATAAGTATGCAAAGTATTTGTTATAAGGTGATCACTTGCATACTTGTTGAGCTCTGTCCTTGCCCTGGGGCTTATGATAACATGCATGTAAACCCTCTTCCTGTGGGACAGGACCTGGGCCAGCGCGTTCTGAATCCTGACCTGGCCTTCTCTTCCCTGAGTCCAGGCCTCTGTTCTCAACCACATGGGGCGAAAGGCGCAGGTGTTTATGGGAGGCTGTGTAGGCTGAGGGCAGGGTGCTCTCCTGGGAGTGATCACTCACAAAAGAATTCTGCAGGGCACGGGGAGATGAACGCACTTCCTTCAGAGGGGATGGGACCAGCTGTCCAGTCAGTGCACAGAACAGGCAGGGGAACCTCGGTCCTTGCTGGGGAATGGGAGCACCCTGGTCCTCCTGTCGAGGACAGGACCCCTTAGCTATGTATGTTGGGCTGCTCACAGCACAGGGACATGCAGAGGGAACCCAGCTCATTGAACCATGTATGCTTATTCTGCACAGTAACTTAGAGCTTATCATGATAAAGCAAATCAATGCATGTTTTGGCAGTAAGCAAAATGCATTCTGTAACCATTAGCAGCAACCGAATGTAACCATTTGGCAGTAACCAAAATGCATTCCATGAAGACTCCAGTCTATTTCCCTGCTTCTTGGAAAGGTTTGTCTAAGCAACTCTTCTAAACATATGGCTATTCTCTCTAAACTACACTGTTTCCCCGAAAATAAGACAGTGTTTATATTAAATTTTGCTCCCCAAGATGCGCTAGGTCTTATTTTCAGGGGATGTCTTATCTTTCCATAAGCTAGGTCTTATTTTTGGAGGATGTCTTATTTTCGGGGAAACATGATATAATCACCTGTGAGAAGCATATTTTAAAAGCATCTCTGGAAATCCAGTTTATTATCTGGTAGTGGAACTAGGGCTCCAAACCAAAATTGTAGATGCATTCAGTTTGTCAGAAGAATAACAAACTCTTTCTTATTGTATATGATTTTACTTAGAGAAGTTGCTGTTTACTTTGTCACAGATGTCACAATGAAGAAAATGCCAAAAATCTATTAACTGTCACAGACACGATGTAAGCTACAGTTTTCATACAATATAATCTATAGATATATCTTTCAAGCTATCGTCCCAAGCAATGGTCTAATCTGTTACCATTTTGCCAATTTAGCACAATTGATCATTATAGTTCCTATGCACTGTTGCTGTGTGTTTGTCAGGGCTGTTTAAAATGGCTGTTCATGCTAGCGGTAGTCATAGAATTTAGAAGCTGTGAAAAAGCATCACACTTTGTTCTACATAATACACTCTACATGCATTCTGTTAGGAATTGTGGCTGTAACAATGGATGGTAGTTGGTATTTCCAGACTAAAAGTAATTTACATGGATGTCCCACAGAAATCAAGTTGTATTAGATTGAGTAAATGGCTTTAATCCACTTTAAAAGGGATACTTCAATATAATGTGGCACCTGTTTTAGTGTTCTTCCAAGCAGTGCATTGGAAGAAGTCACTTTATGACCAGCCATCAGTGCCAAAGCTTTCATCAGCAAGAGTACGGTATCCCTTTGATGGAGAGGATGCCATTGTTTGCAAACAAATCTGTTACCTAACAAAGTGAGAAACCTTCATAGGTACCCCAAACACACTGCACAGTGTGTGCTTTGTGACCCTCAATAGGTAATATCAGCCATAATTAAAGAATAATACTCAGAGTCTGGAGAAATGCAGTGTTGTGTGATGTGAAGAAGAATCCAACTGTTAAAATCTGCCTGGATATTCATCAGTTCTCTTATATGTTAAATTAGATGAGGTTTCCTTTGAGCACCTGACTAAGATGTTGCCCCGTGAGATGTGACCTGCCGCTGGCTGAGACTGGAGAGCAGGTTCATGCAGTCGGCACTTCACATGTGACTCTCATGGTCTCACACTTGTTCCTGTGACAATGGTGACAAGGACATAGTGTTTTATTATGAAAATGCAAAAGTGTGTGCCTCTCCAGGAAGAGCAGAGCAAAACAGAGCAACAGCCTAAGCAGCAGCATTCATGTACAAGTGCAGAAGGCGTTTCATTTTGCAAATGCCTCCCAAGAGTTCCAGCATAAAGCAAAATTAATCTGATCCATACAAAAGGCAAAGCCACAGAGAATTTGGAAAACCACAAGGCTCTGTGTTTTTTACAGAATCATACTGCTACCAATTGAAATAGGGTGCTTGAAGTTGTGAAGTATCAAGAGAGGAGCACAAGATTATTACCATCATTAAATATATTTCATGAAGGCTCCTTGGGGTTCCTGCCGCACTGAGGGCACTGAGCAGAGAGTAAAGCTCCCACATGTAGGTTTCTCTTATCTCACACATAGTCCATGCCCAGACCCTCTTTTACTCCACGCATCACTGAAAACCATCCCAGCCCCGCACGCCTGGTCCCATCACACACTTCTCTGTACCTCTGAGCCTATCGCAGCCACAGAAAAAGTTTCTGAGGCGTTTCGGGCCGAGAGGAAGATTCACACAATGTCAGGCCCAGGCAATAGTGCACTTCTGAAGGAAACTAACCACCCCCAGGGGTTTGGGGCATGCTGACATCCGAGCTTCTCTCCTGCTTTTTCTTCTGAATACAACCTGCTGAGCACTCACTGCGGCCACTGAGTGTCCATTCGGAATGAATGACCCAGTCACAGCTTTGGGTGGCACCCGGTGCCTCTCGGCCAGCAATACCTGATGCTCAAGACCAACAACAAAGTCCCATATTAAACTGGACATTTCTGTTATGAGAGTGCAGATCTTCAATACAAAAAGAATCATTTCAGAGACTTTTATAAACACACCTTATTAGACACAGCCCGACAAACAGGATGCATGAGAGCCTGAATTGTGAAAATGTAACATATTCCATTCTGAATGATGATTCTTTATGGGTAGCTCTGACACAAATATACTCAATCCACACTCAGCTGGTTTAGCACACACATACATTGTGTTGAAATGACTGAATGGATTTTATTATTAAAAGTGTACATGAACCCCAGCTGCAGACTCAATGATAGGATCCTCATGGTGGTGGCTGAAGAACAGACACTGATATCATATACAAATGATCATAAATTTTGTCAGAACACATTGAGATAGTGTGCAAAACTCCTTCCTCACACTTGATCCAAACCATTGAAACCTAAGGATTATTGTGCTTATTCTGTTTCCTCCATCTAGTCTCTCCTTCCTTCTTCCTTTCATTAAAAGAAGTCATTTGTATACAGGGTGGGGCAAAAGTAGGTTACTCTTGTTCATATGGGAAATAATACAATGATTAATAAGTAATAAATAATAATGCAAAACTAAATTCTGTGTTTTGTGTACCCAACACTGTAAATCTACTTTTGCCCCATCGTGTGTGTGTGTGTGTGTGTGTGTGTGTGTGTGTGTGTGTGTGTTGAGTGTAGCCATTTCAAGATGAAAAGGAGTAACATTTTTGGAGGATTTTGGAGGTAGAGAAGTAAAATTTGTGTTTTTATTCTTAATATGTTGTGGTGTGAACACACAATTCCATTCAGATGTCTTGTTGCCACCCCTTCCTTATTAAAAACAATGCTGTTTAATGGCTCAACTCATGAACTTGGTAGTATCTGGCTGTCTTCAAAAGAATTACTTAGAAAGTGATTAGGAATACAAAGTACAGGGCTTTGCCTTCAGAGATTTGAATTCAGTAGGTTTTAGGAATCTGTAGATAGAAAACCACTCTAGGGAATGCTAATATGTAGCCAGATTTGGAGATCATTGAAGAATACTCAAATAATCCCAATCATTAGGAATAACTACAGGTTGACTGACATAGCAATATATTATTTTGAAAGCTACATACTCTGAGCTTCATAGCATTGTTTCACAAGTTTTAATTTTAGGTGTGGTTTCAAATTTATTCTCTGCTTTTTAAGTACGAGTCTTCGAGCTTATTAGAGACAGAAATCAACACTGATAAGCATGAGGGATGAATATTGCTCACTATAGGGCTATTAGGCATACTAGATGTGGCACCATTTTCTTAATTGCTGCCTGAACTGTGCAGTATATCACAATATTTGCTGATCCTCACCACCAATATTTGTATCTAGCATGAACCTTTGGATAGGGAAACAAATGTCGAAGTAACAGTCTGTTTTTGAATGCTTTGATGTTTACATTAAGAAAAGTCAACATAATACTTAGTCTCACTCTGTACTTTTCACATTGAGCTGTACATTCATCTAAAAATATTCCCTAGCAATACCTTGTTAACAACCTTTCAAGCAATAACTTAAGCCATGGTGTTGATGCCATATGAAACGTGCAATTTTGTGCACTCCATAGAACTCTTAGGGAAATGGAGACATGTTTTATATAAGCAATAACAAAGCTGGTGTGAACTTTTAAAAGATATTCACCATATTCTACTACAGCAGGATGGGTAAGAGGTGATTCCCCAGATAAAAGGTATCTGAGAAATGCCGTGCTCAGTCTATCTCAGAAGACATTCAATGTACACAGGCCATAAAGTAATTAATAGATGCCTGTCAGATTATTTCTGTTGTATAACTTTTAAAATACCTATACTAACATTTCTCTCTAGAGATGTGTACATATGCAATATTGTCCAGGTTTCCAGTCTTTGTAGTACATAATGCTGAGGAGCGGTTAAGGATGGATACATGAGTGAAAGTAGAACAGAAGTTGGTTGAGTTGATAGAGCATGTAGGCTTTGCAAAAATATAGATGGGTCTTGGGACAAGTTAATTAATCCAAATGTAAGTTTGATAGAGTCTTAGAAGATGAAGGATAAAAGATAAAAAGAGGTTATTACCACTGTTTCCTACAATAGCAAGTGTTCAGTAAGTATAACAGTATTTTGGCTTCAGAATGTGGTTGAAAGTCATTTGTAGTATAATTACTAAACATCTTAAGATGATTATGTAATTATATTGAAAATAACCTGCTCCTCTCAGCTATTTTGATGATGGTATGAAAGCTTTCATCCTTTTATAGTTAAATTACCTTTCCTTTACTAAGAATAATGTATGGGGATTACAGCTAAAAGCCACTGGTAAACTTGTTACACCAGGAATATTCTAAGCAACAGATTATTATTTAGCAAAATAATATAAGTTTAAATCCATTCTTAAGCCTCTATGACTATTATTGCTCCTATTATTGCCTCACCGAATAAACTCTCTTCTAATCACGAATCTGAGCACAATTGGAATTGTGGGTGGGTGGGTTTGCTAATATTTTAAATTCCTAATACCCATACCAAAACTTAAGTTAGCATCCTTTTGTTTACAATTTAGAAAATTACCCCATAAAATCAATCAGGGTTGTTGATTCACTGAGACAGTTTTGACAGTTGTATTTTTGTATATCATTCAATGCTTAACTCTTAATAAGCATGCTTTTGATTATTATAATGACAAATTGTTTATTTGAAACTATTAAGTTACATTGAATTTTTCCTCTGTTAATTTATTCAGTAACTAAGATCATTCTTAATATTAGGCTTAAGTGCTATTGCTTATTATCTGAAAGCAGAAGACACAAGAAAAAAGAGAAAGAAATGGCAAGTCTAAGTGATAACTTGTTTCTGATTCTTTTGATACATTTTTTAAAAAGCAATCAGTTTCTATTCAGTCTTCTGTGGCCTTTTCACTATTTGGAGACAAAGAAGGGATTCTACTAACTTATTTTTGCTGCAGTCTACTACATGTAATTAAATATAAGTTGGGCAATAATGTATTAGTTGGGGTAAAAATCAGAAGTGTACAAAATGGCTTCTCACACCACCTTACTTTTTAAAGAGAATTTCTCCTGTTATGTTGTCTGGCAGTTAGTTATCCATCAGGCTCCGGACAGGGACAGATGGAAGGGTTGGGATGAGGAGGGACTCTGGATGAGATTGAGCAAAGAGATGTAATTGCATGAAGGTGTAGGTAACATCAAAGGAGAGGCGGTTTCCATCATAGGCACGTGTGGCTGAATGAGAGCCAGATGATTTGTTGGACTGGTCGTCATTCTCATGTTAAAAAGCAAAGAGAAAACTTCCAGGCTGTTCTCAGTGTCCTTAGGGTCCCGTCAGCCTCGCAGCAGCTGCACGTGTCAGGGGAACTGGGACCGTGGACTGGAAGAGCTGTGAACAGAAACTCTCTGAAGGTGACAGATAGCACTACCGCGTTGCCCTGATGAAGGTAAATGAAAGTGTCAGAGCATCTGGGCTGAAGAGACAGAGAAAGCCAGATACCAGCTCCGCCGTATGTCATGGGAGAGCTGTTAAAATGAGCACAAAGGAACAGACTATCAGTGTGCAACTGATAGGAAAACAAAACCCTCCTCCCTCCTTTCCTTCTCCTCCCCCCCCCCCCCACTCTAAAGCATGCATGGCTGAGCTAATGTTCAGCGAGGAAAATACAATTTGCTTTTATACATCCTTTTTAAAATCCTAAAATTATTTTTTTTTAAATAGCTTTCCCTAGTTTGAAAATGTAATCAGAAAGAATGAGAACTATTTGTTCCGAGTCCTAAGATCTATAAAATCCTTCCTTGGGCTAGACTATATTCCATGTCATTCTTCACAATGTTCTCAACCGGGGTTTTAGCTGCTAGCAAAACAGGAGCTCAACTTCAGAGTAGGTGAGAGCCTTTATGACCCTACAGCCTACCCATCGCATTCGGGGTGGTCAGAGGGTCGGAGATAGGGAGAGAGGTGCCCCCGGCATTTGGTGGCATGCTGTGGGAGAGATGAAGGTGACTCTGTCTTCCAATATCAAAGTGCTTAGGGAATCTCTTATTGTCATTCAAAGATGTTTCATGTACAAGTAATTGGTGAATTTAAGCAGAGATTGATTAGAACATACATGTTAAAAGGATGAAATAAACATGAACTGCTAGAAAAATAATGTAGGATAAAGATTTGCTGTTTTAGAAGAGTAGACTGACTCATATCCAGAAGTTGGAACGCTAGAGACTTGAAAGTTTCCTAACTATATCAAATTGCTCGACACTGAGAAAAGAAAGTAATTTTGTTGATGTATCCCTCAAGGTTTTACTCCCTGAAGATAACATATAATTATAAATTGCAATCAAATTATTTTTCCTCATGTTCTTTGCTTGTGGGGAAAAAAATAAAGATGTAGATGATGTCATAAATAAGACAAAGTTAAAAATTGTGGCATTGAGGCATGGTTTGCAAATTTGTTAACATTCTTTTACCTAAAATAATAAACTTTTATTTTTTTATTTTTTAATATGTTTTTTATTGATTTCAGAAAAAGGAGGAGAAATGGAGAGAAAGATTGAAGCAGCAGTGATGAGAGAGAACCTTTGATAGGGTGCCTCCTGCACGCCCCACATTGGGGATCGAGTTTGCAACCCAGGCATGTGCCCTGACTGGGACTAGAACTGTGACTTCTTGGTTCATAGGTCAATGCTCAACCCCTGAGCCACACTGGCTGGGTACAAACTGTTTTTAATAATATAAGGGTTAAGAATAGCTATTAAATACTACTTAAACTTGTTCACATTAGGATATAGAGCAAAGCATCTCAAACTTTGCAAAATAAAAT